TGGTTTCCCCAGGGTGAACAACAATCTCTCTGCCAGACGAACGATTTTTACTTATGAAACTTAACCTAATTTGAGTTTCAGTTACACAATATTCAAACAAACTTCCGTAATAATTAAACTTTTACAATTTCCTTTTCAATTATATAATATACTTGAATAAACGAGGCATTTAACTACAAAAAATAAAAACGAATTCTCGAACAAAGGTGACCAACACGTGCTGCCAGACACCCAAGGATGGAAAAGTACCACAAACAGGACACGCCAACCTATTAACAGTACGTGTACTTATTTCTGCACGTCATTAGATACAAAACTGACTTGACCTGACCTGAACTAAAGGCTCTACGGTAATTTTATTTACCTAATTGAGTTACTGTTTACTAATTGGTTTATCTACTAATTACCACAATCAATCTATCCATGGCCATAAAACGCTTATCACAAGGCCAACTAATTACCCAAGTGTGTGTGTGTGTGTGTGTGTGTGTGTGAGAGAGAGAGAGAGAGAGAGAGAGAGAGAGAGAGAGAGAGAGAGAGAGAGAGAGAGAGAGAGAGAGAGAGAGAGAGAGAGAGAGAGAGAGAGAGAGAGAGAGAGAGAGAGAGAGAGATATTTGGGTCTTATCCAATCAGGTTGCAGTAATTGTTTGAGATAATCGTAATGGTTAAGTGAGATTACGCTGCAGCAGAGAGGGGGGAGGGGGGAGGGGCAGTTCAAATGAGGTCCCTTAACACTGGGGTCTATTAGAACTGGGGTCTAACAGGACTGAATAATATTAAAACTGGGTCATATAGGATTAAGGTCTATTACTGGTGCCTAATAAAACTGAGGCCGATTAAAACTAGACCCATTACGACTAGGGCATATGAGAACTGGGGCCTATACGGACTAGAAACTAATAGACCTGGGGCCCATTAGGACTGAGACACGAGACCTGGGACGTATACAGACTAGAAACCTATCAGAAAAGGGTCCCATCATACCTGAGACATACTAGAACTGGGGCCTATACGGACTAGACTACCAAAAAAGGGGCCCATTAGGACTAAAACACATAAAATCCGGGGCCTGTCTATTAAAACTGGCAACCATTAAAACTGAGGACCAGGAAAATTATAGACAAGTAACCCCTAACATCTACTTCGTTTTCTCTATCTCCCTCTTGCCACTTCATCCCTAACTATTTTATTTTTTCAATTTGAGGGTAAACCATGATATTAACCCCTTCACTACGGGACACCATTGTTAATATTTGATTTAGTTAAGGTCAGATGATTTTATTAAGCCCATAGAGGACCATCGTGCATAAAGAGTTAATAGACTATCCCCATTAACCGTTCGATAAACTTAGCTAAATGAGGAAAATCTAAATTAAGATCTGATATAGTCTTTTATGAATGGATTTGGATGTATTTAATTATAAACATGTTAATTACCGTTAAGTTAAATACCTGGGGTTAAAAATGATAGATGTTATGGTAATTAATTGTTTTAATGACCATTGGAGTAATTAATTTCGTCTTGTAACACTAATTAATTACTTGTCTTGTTATTATTCCATGGTTAATTTTGGTGTTTTTTATGCTGTTGCGGTAAGGTGACTTACGATATACTACTGCTGCTTACTACTACTACTACTACTACTACTACTACTACTGCTACTACTACTTACTAATAATAGTGTTTCTACATTCTTTTACATTTTATATAAGCATTAAAAGTTTTCTAGCTAGAGTCGTATATCGATGTCTGGTCGGATGTTCACGTGGCCGGATGTTCACATAGGGACCGGATGTTCACCTGGTGGCCGGAACTAATCATACTCACCTCAAACTCCGGCTCGGCTTTTTATTGGTAATTCAGAACTTTAATTAATTATTCTCGAGTCTCATTAATAAACTTGGAATCTAATTACTCTGCAATGATTAAATATTCTGAAGACTAATTACCTTAAAATGCGATTTAATAGAGGGGAGTCTAATTTGCCTGAAATATAATGACATATTCTAAAGTCTAATTAATCTGAAGTCTAATTAATCTCTATATTAATTATAATTATCGATTCTGAGTTATAATTATGAAGTCTAATTACTCTGAAATGTGGTTTATTATTCTGCAGTCCCATTAAAGTCTGATCATATTTGGAGAAGTTATTCCAAGGACAAGTATAACAGACGAACGGACGGACATTAACACTCCAAATTCGAACTCACCCAAGGGCCTATGGGTAAAATCCCCTGTACAATGTCTAGTTAAATTCTGATAATTTTTGTGGGAGTTATTACACGGACAAAGATATATCACGGACGTACGGACGAACGGACCGGTCATAATCCTCAGCAGACAGTCAGATGGATTCTCACATTTCCAATAAAGAGGAAAAATTATCGTACGAACCTTTGAGAGTCCATCACTACAACCACCATCACTACCATCACCACCACCACCACCACACGGAAAACAAAATGACTTCATCCTAATTACCACAAACACAAACTGGCATAAGTCATCGATCCTGTGGGTGCCAGACACTGTTGGGAGGCACCCGGTAGAGCCACGGCACCATGCCCTCATAAAAAACATAAGATAGATAGATAAATTAGACATAGATAGATAGATAAACAGACTACAACATGTCTATAACTCAATAACAAACTCAATTTCAAACTCTATCGGGGGGAAGACATCAAACACATCAGCCATTGTTTACATTACCATGGATCAAGACGAGTTAGATGTGAAAATTCTTAATAGAAAACGGGGATTATGATACCTTCAGTGGTACCCGGAGCCTGTGTTGGGGTGGTGACGGAGGCAGCAAGTCAGTCAGTAGGGTGCCGGCCGCCGTGCTGGACGTATGTGATAGGTGAATTGCACGACGAAGGAAAGAGGTTAGGAGACGCATACGGGGAAAGACAGTCACAGAATGGGATAGTTACGATAGCAAGGGATGGATAGTTATAGGTGAAGGATAGAGGAGTAATTAATGGATGGTGGATAGTACAGATAGCTTGAGGGGCGAGAATAGAGGTAATGGGTAAGAAGGGTATAGGAAGGAGGTTGGGATAAAGTGAGATAAAGATAGTAGTGGGATGAAGGAAGGAAGAGAGATAAATAGAGAAGAGAGGAGACTTAGAAAGAAAAAAAACATGGATAATTCAAATGAAGAGGAAGAGAGAGAGGAAGAACAAACGGAGGAAGAAGGAAGAGGAAAAAGAAAGAAGTAATAAAGACGAAAGGAGGAGGAAGAAAAGGGAAGAAAGAACAAAACACAGAAGTAAACTAACCAACACACAACACACTGACTCACTTAAATATTGACACTTTGACTAAACACAACATTGGCTGCCAAATATCGTCATATCCAAGGGAATGGGTGCCAAGGGGTGCCACAAGTTCATGCCAAGTGGTGACATAATGACATTTACCTGTGACCTTGACTTTTGACCTGTGACCATACATACATAAATACATACATACATACGTACATACATACATACATACATACATACGTACATGCATGCATACATACAAGACGCTCACGTAAACCTTTAGCAAGAGTAACAATATTAAATTAAATATGCACATCTCTGAAAGTAAATCATCCAATGTGATATTCAAAGGTGTGTGTGTGTGTGTGTGTGTGTGTGTGTGTGTGTGTGTGTGTGTGTGTGTGTGTGTGTGTGGAGACAACATCGTCGCCGGCACTGTACTCGACCACCTTAACTTCCCCAAACTGTTAAGTCAGGTACCCATTTACACCTGGGTGGACTGGGAGCGCCCCGGGATCGAACCCACGACACCTTTACAAAGAGAGAACTTGTAAGGAATGGTCAGTCAGAACCTGGAGTTAGTGAGAATTATTTCAGGAATTTCTATCGGGAATTTAGAAACAAGTACAGTCTCTTGGCACTGGCGCTAATTCTAAGACGTCAAGGGTGTCCAACTCTGGCACTGGCACTGAGGTTACTGAAATTGGCACGACTCCCAAAACCAAGTTCGATATCCTGGGAATTGCTTATAATTTCGCGGTTCCTAAGCAAATGCCTTAAATTCCGAATAAAGACGTAAATTCCGAAATAAAACTCCTAATTCTGAAATGAAGACTTTTAACAGCATGTGTGTATGATACTCCCGTGTGTGTATGATACTCCCGTGTGTGTATGATACTGCCGTGTGTGTATGATACTCCCGTGTGTGTATGATACTCCCGTGTGTGTATGATACTCCCGTGTGCGTATGATACTCCTGTGTGTGTATGATACTCCCGTGTGTGTATGATACTCCCCTGTGTGCGTATGTTTGTAAGTAAACATACACAAAGTACACACGCCACACCACTCTCCACCACCCTCACCACACCTGTCACCTAAACACAACACACCTGTCCCACACACCTGATCAAGAAGACTGAGAGGTATCCATGAAACACACCTGTCCTACGGGGTTTAATGATATTCAATACGTATTATACTTCACTACTGGGAGCAGGTAGGGTTAGGTTAGGTTAGGTTGTGATGTCGCGCGATCGTCAGGTAAGTGTCATGCACGGTGACAGCCTAGTGTCATGTGAGGTGACAGCCTGGTGTCATGCACGGTGACAGCCTAGTGTCATGTGAGGTGGCAGCCTGGTGTCATGCACGGTGACAGCCTAGTGTCATGTGAGGTGGCAGCCTGGTGTCATGCACGGTGACAGCCTAGTGTCATGTGAGGTGGCAGCCTGGTGTCACGTGAGGTGACAGCCTGGTATCATGTGAGGTGACAGCCTGGTGTCATGTGAGGTGACAGCCTGGTGTCATGCACGGTGACGGCCTAGTGTCATGTGAGGTGGCAGCCTGGTGTCATGTGAGGTGACAGCCTGGTATCATGTGAGGTGACAGCCTGGTGTAAAGTGAGGTGACGGCCTAGTGTCATGCACGGTGGCAGCCTGGTGTCATGTGAGGTGCTGGTAGCAGGGGGTCGGGTCGGGGAGGGGTTGGGTTGGTAGAGTCAGTCGTGAGGCAGCGGCCGTGGTGTGCGGACCTTCCTCGTCTAGCAGGTGGTCACGGGGTACCTCACCTCCCTACCTCACCTCTCCCACACACACACACACACACAAACTCACACTTCCCACACCCACCATCAACCCACACTCACTCTGCCCTCTATCGCGTGTTCAATACTCACAGCACATGTACATCACGTGTGCTAAAAAGTACCATTTAAGATAAGTTTAGTGTACAAAATATTCCCCTACGACAAAATATTCCCACGAAGCGCGTAAAATTCCCACGGTCACTAATCACCACCCCTCCCCCTACCCTCCAATAACCAAACAATTTACCTCACAGTGAACCATAACAAGACTTCAAAACCAACCAATCACGTGACGGATACTGAAAAGAGACAGAGAGATAGAGAGAGAGAGAGAAAACAAACCACGTATCCTCATAACCAGGACACATAATGTAGTATTTCTGTGCACTGTGATACATTTGTGATATATAGAAAGTAAATAAAAAACAGTGATTTAATATAGACTTTCTGATATACAGTACGTGATTTAAACCTCTATAGGCATTCGTATTGGAGAAAAAATAAATAAATATCAAGATATGACTGTCTCCCCTCCCCCCTCTCTATCGCAACTACGCTACATCAACTCTACAACCATTTACATATATCAATTACCAGTTGGTTGAGAAGTTCCCGGTAAAGTTATTAATCTACCTATATGATCCTATACATATATATATGCAGTGTATAATAATAAATAATGAATATTAGTTATACATTTGATCTAAACTTTGAAAAAATAGATTAGATATATTTTTAAAACCCAATTTGTAAAAGTATTTGTAGCTTGAATGATAGATGTATTAATTTTCTTCAAACTTTTACAAATTATACATTACGACACATCCTGAGTTATTATTATACATTATTCAAACAAATTTACTGTAGTGTTATGTGATGGATTCATACATTTTATAATCTGTAATGTATTCATGCTATTCATTATGTATTCTGAGTGTGGCTTCTAGTGTAACGTCAGCCATACGTTTTTGTTCTGATCCAACACACACACACACACACACACACACACACACACACACACACACACACACACACACACACTCACATTTATGTTCCTCGGGAGTGAAAAGGGGAGAGGGAGGGAGAGGTGAGGAAGGGAGAGAATGAGATGAGTGGGAGGTCAATGCGAGAGGGAGAAGGAGTGGGAGGTCAGTGTGGAAGAGGGAGGGAATTGGGAGGGAGAGAGGGCGTTGATGGAAGAGAAAAGGGGAGTGGGAGAGAGAGGGAGAGGGAAGTATGTGTGGAAGAGGTGCTGGGAGAGTGGGAGAGGAAGACTTAGACACGACTGCTGTATTTCTCAGGGGCAAGGAGACACTATCTCTCACACACGCATCTCTCCCTTTCTCCCTGTACCTCTTCTTCCTTCCTGCCTCCCCCCCTTCTTCCCTCATATTCCCCCTATTTATCTTCCTCCCCGTCTTTTCCTCCTCCTCCTCGTTCTCTATCCTCCTCCCTATCTTTTTCCTTCTCCTCTTCCTCTTCTCCCTCTTCCTCCTTCTCTTCTCCCTCTTCCTCCTCCTCGTTCTCCCTCCTCCTCCTCCTCCTCGTTCTCCCTCTTCCTCCTCCTCCTCCTCTCTCCTCTTGCTCCTCCTCCTCCCTCCTCCTCGTTCTCCCTCTCCTCCTCCTCCTCCTCCTCCTCTTCTCCCTCCTCCTCCCTATCTTTTTTCCTTCTCCTCTTCCTCCTCTTCCCTCCTCCTCTTCCCTATCTTCTTTCCTCCTCCTCCTCCTTCACTTCCTGCTCCTCAAACTTCCTATACACACAACGTTTTAATCTTCCCACAATCAAATCATCTTTCCTGCTTCCAAACAGACGTGCCTCCTCCTCCTCCCCCTCTTGTTTTTCTTCTTCTTTCAGCTCTTTATTCTTCGTCTTCAACTCTAATTCTTCTTCCTCTTCCCTCATCCACCCTTTGATGTCCCTTCATCTCCTCTCTTCCCTTATCCTCCTCCCTCCTCTTCCCCCTTCACCCCCTCCCTCTTTCCCTTTATCCTCCCCTTCATCCTCCCTCTCCTCCTCCCTCTTCCTATAGGCACTTGGTTTTATTACCTTCAATCAAGAGGTCATTTCTGCCACTATAGGTCACGTGGTGCGTCCTATTTGACCCTGACCCCTGAGTTAGTGTTTTCCTGATGAGGGTTGATTGTGTGTGTGTGTGTGTGTGTGTGTGTGTGTGTGTGTGTGTGTGTGTGTGTGTGTGTGTGTGTGTGTGTGTGTGTGTGTGTGTGTTTTTTCTGTCACTATCCCTTTACTATATCTTTATTGTCACTTTCTATTTCTCTTTCTTTTCTGTCACCCGCTATCTCTCTTTCTTTTTATTTTTCTTTCTTCCTCTCTCTGTCTTTTGTCGCTTTCTCTTTCTCACTTTCCTGTCATTAACTCTCTTTTTACTTTCTCTCTCTCTCTCTCTCTCTCTCTCTTTAATCAAGTGTTCTCGTCATCTCTCTGTTGATGGTGCCTGTGTGTTATTATTCTCTCTCTCTCTCAGTATGAATCACTAACACAAACAGATTGGGTCCAATTATCCTTTCATCTTACCCACCTATCTTACCCTTCCCACTCACCCCACTAATCCCAACCCACTCCTCTACCCTCCCTACCCCACTCTCTCCTCTCTCCCTCTCCTTCTTCCTTCTCCTCACCCCTCTCACTACCTCCGTACCCCACTCTCTCCCTCTCTCCTCTCTCCATTCTTCCTCTCCTTCTTCCTTCTCCTCACCCCTCTCACTACCTCCCTTCCCCACTCCTTCCCTCTCACCCCCCACTCTCCACACTATCACCAACTTCCTCAAGCAACTCCAAGATGATTGATAAAATTCCTTAATCAATCTCAACTCTTAACTAAGATCTTCCCTGTTTTGGTGGGTGGGCGAGTGGGCGGGTGGGTGGGTGGGCGGGTGGGTGGGTGGATGGGTGGTGGTTGGTAAGGGTGGGGTATGTGGTGGGGACAAGTGGGTGGTGTGGTGCGGGTGATGGTAGGTGTGGTAGAGGTGGGTGGTGGGTGGTGGGCGGTGGGAAGTGGGTGGATCGTGAGTAAGTGGGCGTTGGATGTTCCCGTTTTAACAAAAGTAGTTTACCAAGCTCACGCGTCTCTGTTTATCTGTTAACCGTATAATAACAGATAAAAAAAAGCCCCTCTGTTTTTTAGGGGCTTCGTATCACCAATGGTTGAAGGTTCCCGTTTTCCCTGGTATCCGTATATTAACGGTGATGGATGATGTTCTGTTTTTTACTCCGTTTAAGAGGGGAGAAGGTGTGTTTTAACAGTAAATAAATGGTAATTGGGGGAGGATTTCTATTCTTAACCATATATAAAAGGTATGGGAATGAAGAAGGAAACTGTACCGTTTTTAACCGTATATAAACAGTGGTAAACAGTACACGCTTAATATCATCCCGTTACTACCGTATAATAACAGTACTAAAGTCATTAAACACAAAATACTCAAACAACAGATAAAAACATCGACCCTGTTTCTGTTTACACTCAACAACGGCGACGCCCTCTCACCGTTTTTCCACCGTATAATAACAGTACTAACTCGATACTGCCCATACAAGAACAAACAAGAACAATCAAACAAGAAACAAACAAGCTGTGAAAAGTGTTAGTGTACAAACAAGTGCCAAAAAAAAAATATCACAGGGGAAGAAGATAAAGAAAACGGAGGAACTTAAAATTTTCATGGGAAACTTTAGAAAATCTTTGCCTATCTGACCCCCTTGTGACCTAGTGGTGACCCCGTGTGACTCTCTGGTGACCTCTTCTGTGGCCTCTGACCTTCAGCTCTTCATGTGACCTCTTCAGTGACCCGTGTTGTGTCTTAAGGAGGTCAACTGTGTCCTGGGTCACTAGTTTGTACAGGTAAGTGATTATATTATGTGGATGTGTGTGAAAGCTGGTCTCTCTCTCTTTCTTTCTTTCTCTTTCTCTTTTTAGCCCCTATTTCTCTCCTTTCTCTCATTTTCTCTATCTAGTTTTTCCATGAACAGTCTCTCTCTCTCTCTCAACTTACCTTATATCCATACGTCTAACTCCCAACACAGGTAAGTGCAAACGATATATTAGACAGGTGAGATAATTAGTACATTGACGGTAAATTAATTAGTGGACAGGTGCAACTATTGGTGTACGGGTTAATTAGATGACAGGTGTAATAATAACTGCATTGACGGTAAATTAATTAGAAAAGACAGGTGTATTAATTAGTATAAACAAACAAGAAAACAACACACACACACACACACACACACACACACACACACACACACACACACACACACACACACACACACACACACACACACACACACACACACACACACACACACACACACACACACAGCAGCAATAAAGAACTACTTAACTAATCTAATAATCCTCCGCGCTATACTCAGTAATTCTCTACCTTAATTTGGTTCAGTTCGCCGACCCTCAGTCACAAACTAACAAACAAACACAACAAACAAACAAACACACAGACGAGGCAAGTGACGTCATATATAACCTAACAAAATACTAACACGTGTCAGATGAAGTGCTAAAAGTAGTCACCCTCACCCAAGCCTTCACACAGGTACTAGACACGTACACAACATGTTTCAGGGTGTATGTATGTGTAGGTTTATGTGTAGTTGTGTATGTATGTATGTGAAGGTTTATGTGCGTATGTGTAGTTATGTGTGTGTATGTGTAGGTTTATGTGTAGTTATGTGTGTATGTGTAGGTTTATGTGTCTGTATGTGTAGGTTTATGTGTCTGTATGTGTAGGTTTATGTGTACTTATGTGCAGTTATGTGTGTAATGTGTAACTCACCTAACCAAAGCCAACCAAACCTCATCTAACCTAACCTAACCAAAACCTGAGGGAGTTCTTACCTCACCTGTATGGCTAAACGCAGGTAGAATCAATTAGTGGTAACAACGGCAGCTCCAGGCCAGAGAAAACAAGACTAAACTGATATATTGTGAGTACCTCAGGTGTGAATTAATTACTGAAAAGGTGTAGAGAGAGAGAGAGAGAGAGAGAGAGAGAGAGAGAGAGAGAGAGAGAGAGAGAGAGAGAGAGAGAGAGAGAGAGAGAGAGAGAGAGAGAGAGAGAGAGAGAGAGAGAGAGAGAGAGAGAGAGAGAGATTATTGTAGGAGAAAGAAGTAAGGAGAAAAAAAGGAAGATAGAAGGATGATAAAAATTAAAAGAAATAAGAAAGTAAATGAAAGAAGAGAGACAATGAAAGAAATAACAAAAGAGATTCGAGAGAAAAAAATATAAAAATAAAACCAAAATAGAGATAATAAAATAGAAAGAGAGAAACAACAGAGAACCAGAGAAAATTAAAGATAAATGGAAGGCAATAAGAGAGACGTGATGAAGAGAGGAAGAATGCGGAAGAGATTAGGGATAATTAGAGGAAGAAGAAGAGGGAGAGAAAGATAGGGAGATGAAGGAAAGAAGGAAGGAAGGAAGGAAGGGACGAGGACATGAAAGACGTGATAAAGAGGGAGAGAAGACAAAGGGGAATAATGAATAAGCGATAGAGAATAGCACAGAAGAAGAAGAAGAAGAAGAAGAAGAAGAGAGAAAGAAACAAACAAACAAAAAGAAGCAAAAGGAGAAAAAAAATAAAACCCAGAATCACAAAAAAACGAAAAAAAACAAACAAAAACAAACAAACAAACACAAAATCGTAAATACAAAACAAAAGGAAAACAAAGATAAAAAACAAGGTAATTTACTTTTGGTTAGCGAAGGAGAATTTTAAACAGATGAAGAAGAAAATCTAATTAAAATTCTCGAGGTAAATTGAGATTTGTCTAATTGACCAACACACACTGTATACGTGTGTGTGTGTGTGTGTGTGTGTGTGTGTGTGTGTGTGTGTGTGTGTGTGTGTGTGTGTGTGTGTGTGTGTGTGTGTACAATAATAATAACAATAAATAACAATAATATACAACAGTACCATTAAAGATCTGGAGAGAGAGAGAGAGAGAGAGAGAGAGAGAGAGAGAGAGAGAGAGAGAGAGAGAGAGAGAGAGAGAGAGAGAGAGAGAGAGAGAGAGAGAGAGAGAGAGAGAGTAGTCAGCCAATTTCAGGCTCTGAGCTAATCAGTGACATACAGCAGAAACCTAAGTGGATTCTCAAGACACAAATAGGGTTACTTCTTTCCTATTTTGTCGTCTTCCTATTTTTCTCCCTATTTTATTTTCCTTATTCCTTATTTACAACCCATAGGAGAATCACGTGAGAGAAAATACTATTGCTATTGCCACTACTACTACTACTACTACTACTACTACTACTACTTTTACTCCGGCGTCGAATAACAAGAAGAAGGGAGGGAGGGAGGGAGGGAGGGAGGGGTACTGTACAAGGCTAGCCGTCACACTTAGCATAATTCATCATACTCAGCTGTAGGTAACTTTACAAAAGCCCCGAGAGTTATAGTGCTCCTAGTCTTATTATTTATCATACTTCTCCTTACTGTGTGTGTCTGTGTTTTATTTTATACTTTTATTACTATTACTGTACTCACGAGGATTCAGAAACACACACACACCCACACACACACACACCCACACACCCACAACCCACCCACCCACCCACCCACCACCCACACACACACAGAAGCTATTTCGTCTATACATTTTATTTTATTAACTGGAATTTAGTTAAAAATGCATTTTAAATTTTGAATATGCATGAAGTAATTTTTTTTGTAAGGTATATATTGTGAAAAGGTGGAAGTGCTTTAGGTGTGTGTGTGTGTGTGTGTGTGTGTGTGTGTGTGTGTGTGTGTGTGTGTGTGTGTGTGTGTGTGTGTGTGTGTGTGTGTGTGTGTGTTTTTTTTGAATGTGCACAGTATATTTGAGTATATATGTGTGTATATATGAGTGCATGAATGAGTATATATGCCAAAAAAACAAACACACACAAACACACTCCCCCAAACACAAACAGTCATAACTAACACTCTATCTCCTGTACTATATCAAACACCCTTCAAATAACTTTACAAAAACACTATGTAATTTTAGCCTGCCACTACCCTTGTGTATTTCCTCGATATATAAATTTATACATTTATTTTAGGTCCGTGGAGTTTAGATAATACCAAAGAATTAATTTATTGTAGGTCCGTGGTGCTTAGATAATAACAAAGAATTTATTTTAGGTACGTAGTAATTAAAATACAAACCCTTAATTACAATTGAATTTTTAATTACATAAAAGAGTAATTTATTTTTCCATCTAAAATAAATTAAATAACAAATGTATTTCTTATTTTTTAAAGGGGATTTTTACTGGAATTTTAAGTGTTTATTTTGTTTATGAACTGAAAACAAAATATTTAAGAATTATTATTATTTAGTGGTTCCATTGCGTTAAATTATACTCCATTATATGAGATTAAATTATACTAAATTATTCTTCATTACATATTAATTATATTCCGTTACATTACGATAATATATACTAAATAATACTTCATAGCGCTATAATGCTTTTCTCTGTTTATCCATAGCGCCACAATACACCTTTTTAAGACCACAATACACCCTAATACACCTCCATTAGGCCATAATACACTACATAACACCACAATACACCCCCATAACACCACAATACACCCCCATAACACCACAATGCACTCTATAACGCCACAATACACCCCGGGCGTCACAAGTCGATCATTAATCCCGGTGTGAAAACTTTGCCTGAATAACGACACAGATTATCCGTGAGGACACCGACGCCTCATAAAGGGGTGTGAGATATGCAAATGAGCGCCGATAAGAAATAGAGTGTGTTGTTCTTCGTGTTCTTAGAGTGTGTTCTTCCTAGGGCGAGCTAAGTGTGTTGTTCATATTCTTAGAGTGTGTCATTGGTCATGTTCTTAGAGTGTTTTGCTGTTCATGTTATAGTGGAGTGTGTTCTTCCTAGGGCGTGTCAAGTGTGTTCTACATGTTCTCAGAGCGGTAGAGCAAAGCATCATACTCAAGGGGTTAACCATCGTACTCAAGGTGTTAAACCATCGTACTCAAGGGGTAAAACCATCGTACTCAAGGCATTAAACCATCGTACTCAGGGTGTTAAACCATCGTACTCAAGGCATTAAACCATCGTACTCAGGGTGTTAAACCATCGTACTCAAGGCATTAAACCATCGTACTCAAGATGTTTTTAATAACTATCGTGTCAACTAAATTTCTTCAGCACGAGAAGTTGAAAATTTTAATGGAAACTTTAACACATTTTCTTTATATGAAAATTTATATTAATATAAATTTTAACTTGGGGGGGAAACTCAAGACTGTGGAAGATAGATAGAAAGATATATATTCCGGTTTTTTTTAATATGAAGTAAAAAATTGGTGAGTTTTGGAGGAGTCTACCCTCTCAATTGTGTGGTGGTAGAAAATGGTGATTATTGATACTACCACTACTACTATTACTATTTCTACTACTACTAATACTACTACTCCGCCTACTACCACTACTACTCCTACTAACCTACATTATATAACCAAATAAACTTTACCACAATTCCAATTTTTTCTCACAGGAGCCAAATGTTTTCACTTCCTGACGGCGGCATATTACAGTCTTTTCATCACTAAATATTAAACAAACTTTCCCTCTGATCTGATCTTTACGGCCCAGGGGAATATTATTAAGGTGGGGGGAGGGGGGTAGGAGGGAGGGTGTGTGTGTGTGTGTGTGTGTGTGTGTGTGTGTGTGTGTGTGTGTGTGTGTGTGTGTGTGTGTGTGTGTGTGTGTGTGTGTGTGTGTGTGTGTGTGTGTGTGTGTGTGCCAAGAATAAGTATTTGACATTTTTCGACGAACCTGATTTTCCATGTTTTTTTTTTTTTGGCCAACATCTGCCACCTTCCAACACCTCCCTACCAACACACTCTTTGTCAGCACACTATCTACCAACCCCTGCCACCTCCCTCCCAACACACTCTCTACCAACACGATATCAGATAAACATTACAGACAGACAGACAGACAGACAGACAGACAGACAGACAGACGACAGACAGACAGACAGACAGACAGACACAACCAAACCCCCTTCAAACAATATTACACAACCATTACAAATATTATCATCAATTGACCCGTATTTATTATTTATTATTTCTCTCCTCCTACCTTCGTTACGGGTGAAGAGGGTGAAGAAAGAGGGGAGATGGAAGAGAAAGGAAGATAAGTGAATGTGAAGTGTAGAAACTGAGAGGAAGGTGCTAAGATAATAAAGGAGGGGAATAATATAAAGAAAATACATACATACATACATACATACATACATACATACATACATACAACACACACATATATACACAGACAGACAGACAGACAGATAGCACACACCCACCCACCCCACCCACTCCCCTCACCCACTCCCACCCCCCACCCACCCCCACCCACCTGCCCACCCCACTCACACTAATTAAAACATTTAACTCTCACATTTACATAGTTAATGTTCAAGCTTAATTCAGCGGCCAACACCAGAGCAAATTGTCAGTGTTTAAAGAGCACTTAGGCCCTTCTGGCGCTCATACGGTACACCAATTTTATAACTTAAATGTGTATTATTACCATTTAGGTAGAACACGCACACACACACACACACACACACACACACACACACACACACACACACCTCTCTCTAAGGAATTCCATCTCATTCCCATCATATCTCTCTAATGTGCCAGGTCTCAGCTTGTCAGGAGGGAGAGGTGATATAAGACAGGCACCAGAGACCTTCATTATTTACACATTTGTCAAGATCAACCACCGTCCTTCTCCTCCTCATGAGACACTGAGAGATACCTGAGAGATAGACCAATGTGAGAGATACTGGGGGATATACCAGTGTGAGAGATAGATTGTGAATACAATATACAGACACATGAGAAATAGTATCAATAAGTGTATTTCTCTGAGTCTCTTTTGGCAATGTTGAAATATGTGGTATATATCTCTCTCTCTATCTATCTATCTTCTTTTCTGTCTATCTTCATTTCCTGGTTTTTATTTCATTCACTTTCTTCTTTTTGAGAGAGAGAGAGAGAGAGAGAGAGAGAGAGAGAGAGAGGGGGAGAGACTAATATAAGTAAGAAATATGAACAAGATTACTTTCACATTTCAATTCATTTTTCCTCTGAATTTCTCCTTCCTTCTTGAGTCACTCTCTTTGCAGTTGCTTCCAGTCTCTCGCACTTTATCAACCTATATTTTTATCTTCTTCCTTTCTTCCTCCTACCTTCCCTTCCTTTTCTTTCTTTTCTTCTGCTCTTAAACCTCTACCCACCAACTCACATACCTAACTCCCCTAACCTCCCTTAACCTCCCCTTACTCTCCTTCACCTCACCTCACCCCACCCCAGCCCCCCAAGCCATATTTAAAGATTTGCATATATCGTCAGGAAAGAAGACAATACATTACTGAACCTTTCATATAACGACTACATATGAGGCAATATCCCGTGAGCAATGATCCTCTACTATATCAAAATTTTAAAAAAAAAAATATGGTATACCTTTTTTTTCCTTCGAGCCAACGTGGGGAGAATATTTTTCGCGAATATAGTTTAATATTGATGTTTTTTTTCTAACATAGGTCTTGTGTGTGTGTGTGTGTGTGTGTGTGTGTGTGTGTGTGTGTGTGTGTGTGTGTGTGTGTGTGTGTGTGTGTGTGTGTGTAGAGTTTGTTGTTGTGGTGATGGGGTGTTTTGGTTAAGTTAGGTTAGGTTAGGGTAGGGTTAGGTTATGCTGGGTTAGGTTAGTGGCGATGGTACAGGTGTAAGTATTGACACAGGTAAACTTACAGGCATACACAGGTACAGATATGAATACTATTTGGAATTAATATATGTACGCTATCAGAGAAAATCGTCATGCACACATAGCAAGTACAGGTACACATGATACCTTGTATATATTAAATGGTACACATAACACTACCATGTACATATAAAACGTACACATAATACAACCATGTACACATGAAAATTACACATACCAGTTTCGTTCATAAGTTCGTGGTGCACATTGGCGGTGAAGGGTGCATAGTCTGTTGTACCCTTCCTGGACGACAGGTCACTACGCCGACCCTCCCACCAACACACACAGTGGAGCTGGCAACGGAGCAGTGTGATTCGAACGAATACTCTCACGTCACGTCAGTCACAGAAAAGAGAGTTAGTGTTTTATGAAGAATTAAATGCTAAACTTAACACCATTAGCTTTAGGAGGGAAATGAACTGCGGCAGTTAAAACATTGGAACGACCTTGTTATGAGCTAGTGTGCTTATGTAAATCTCTCTCTCTATATCTCTTAATATTTACTTTCAATCCATTTAACCACCTAACCACACCATCCATCCATCTATTTAACCACCTAACCACACCATCCATCCATCTATTTAACCACCTAACCACACCATCCATCCATCTATTTAACCACCTAACCACACCATCCACCCACCCACCTATTTAACCACCTAACCACACCATCCACCCATCTATTTAACCACCTAACCACACCATCCACCCACCCACCTATTTATCTCTGCCTCCGCAAAGTCAACACAACCGCCGCAGGAAACTTTAAAGAGCCAAACAAGAGTAAAACTTTAACACACACACAAGTTAATTTTTCCGTCGTGGACCAACAAAATAGACTCGCAGTATCTCATTGGCTGACTCAATAAAACCTCCAGCCAATGGGCGATTTCGAGCCCAAGCGTTCCGACAATCCTGCCTCGCTCTGTTTTGGGGATCTCTCGTGTTTTCAAGGCGCTCGGAGTGGGAACGTATCGGAAAGGGTAGGGGAGGGGTGGGGAGGGGATGGAAGGGGATGGGAGGGGAGAGAGGGGAAGGGAAGGGAGTGGAGGAGGGAGCTGAGAACGTATCGGGAGGGAGGGGAGGTGCCTTTGGGGGTGAGGGGAGGGGGTTTAAGCTCTCTGCCTGGGATACATTCACGTTTTGTGCTTATTTTTTTTTATAGTTTAACCGCATCTTATACCGCATACTATAGTCAAATAACTCTCAATATATCTTGGAGGGATATTTAGGCTTTGAGTTCAATGTTATGGTACGGGCGCTGTGTGGTTCAGGAAGTAAAGGGGCAATCAAATCGGGGGTTTGTTTACATTCCATCGACGCATGCGCAGTAGGAGAAAACAAGATGGCGGCGGTAGGGAGCATTCGTATATAAACCAAACGCCAGAAATTTACCTCACGTATTATTTATCCATTCACCTGTAACTATTGTTTTTATTCATTTTTAAAAGTTATTCAATTAGTCTACCGTCATTCGATTTTATTTTTATATGTGTCATTTATACAACATACACGTATTGAAAGCTCTCATACCCTGGGGGGGGGGGGAATACAGTCATACACTCACATTCATACAACCTACACCTCCCATCACCGTAAGCTTGATAATACAACACCGGATTTTCACTCAGTAATCAGTTCAGGACGATGACTATAACACCCCAATCGGTTTTGACTGAATGCACCAAAAAATATATAGTTTTAAATCCAATCACTGAAATGACCGAAAGATTAGGAGACTGATTCACTGAGGAGAGAGAGAGAGAGAGAGAGAGAGAGAATACAGTTACAGGTAAGATTACAGGTGTGTATTTGATTATCTCTATCTACCTATCTATCTATTTATCAAACTGTCTATTAATATTATTGTTATTATTATTATTATCATCATCAATTCCCATTTTCTATACATACCCATTTTCTGTAAACCCCTAATTCCGTTTTCTTTCTCCTCAGTGTACAAGAGTAGTGGGTAACTTCACAAGAACACGCCCGCACGCCCACTGTAAGTACCCAACCACTTATACACACTATCCTATTTTATGCACCATCTCTCATCTGCGCGAAAGTACCCCAAAAAGTATCATATCTGCGCGAAAGTACCCCAAAAAGTATCTTATCTGCGCGAAAGTACCCCAAAAAGTATCTTATCTGCGCGAAAGTACCCCAAAAAGTATCATATCTGCGCGAAAGTACCCCCCAAAAATATAGCTCTGCGCCAACCAACACCTCTCCTCAGCGGAACAAAAGTACACTCAATAGCCGCCAAAATTATTTCACTTAAAAAACAATAGCACTAACATAATTCAGGTTAAAACTTACCATTATTGTATCGGATCTTAGTTGTGAGAGAGAGAGAGAGAGAGAGAGAGAGAGAGAGAGAGAGAGAGAGAGAGAGAGAGAGAGAGAGAGAAGTTTTTTTTGTGTTTATGTCGATGAAAAATAATAAAGTTTATGGGAAAAACACTTAGTTGGTAACAGAATACAAAGGCTTGAATTTAGAGTAGAATTGTGCTGCGCTTACGTGTGTGTGTGTGTGTGTGTGTGTGTGTGTGTGTGTGTGTGTGTGTGTGTGTGTGTGTGTGTGTTGGGATGTAAAAGTGTTGGGATGTATATGTATGTGTGTGTTTGTTATAGACATATAGATACATAGATACATACATACATACAGAGAGAGAGAGAGAGAGAGAGAGAGAGAGAGAGAGAGAGAGAGAGAGAGAGAGAGAGAGAGAGAGAGAGAGAGAGAGAGAGAGAGAGAGAGAGAGAGAGAGAGATAATATTTACATGCTTCAGGCAAGAGAGACAGGGACACAAAACTCCTTTCTAAGACAAGAAGGTGTAAGTGTAGCACCTGGCCTGGGGGTGAGGAGGAGGAGGAGGAGAGAGGAAGAGGAAGAGGAAGGGAAGGGATGGAAAAGGAGGAGGAGAAAGAGGAGCTAAAAAGGAGAAGAAAATGAGGAGGAGAAGAAGAGGAGGAAGAAGAAGAAGAGTTACGTAAGACTTTGGTTCCTGAAGGAGAGAATTTACTCAATCAGTCTTAAAGAGCGAACGGTCCCTGAGAGAGAGAGAGAGAGAGAGAGACGTAACACAACACAGACAAAATGGCGTCGAAACATCACTAAGACTCTACTATTACAACTTGGCAACAGATTTACCTCAAAAAGAACCTCTAAATAACGAAAAACCTCAAAAAACTAAAATGGCGGCAAAACATCGCAAAGACTCGACCAGAAACTCAGATGAAAAAAAAAATATATATCCCAAGATTTTTATTTTTGTTTTTTGGTTCAGACTCTTAATGGTTGAACTTTTAATGGCGTCTTATCGTCTCTGTGACTCAACCGTGAATAATGGCGGTGGAGGGAGTCGCCAAAATTTCTCCTCCAATGTTTATAATGGCGTAATGGGGCGTAATTAAATCCCCCCCCCCCCTCCTGAATTCGACAGTTGAAGGAAATCGACCCATGGATGACTAGTCGAATATCTGGACACTTCGACACGGCACGGAGGGGGATCGACCAGGGGCGCCTCGTTACCTGTAATGAGACGGCCCACCTGCGGTTAAGTGGCGGGAAAATACGTCTTAAAGCTGATCTTGAAGACGTCTCAAGTTCGGTATGATGACAGAGACACTGATGAGGAGAAAGTAAAATATTGTATCTGCCCCAACTTGGAATGATTATATCCAAAGTTCGGTTCAGTTGGATGATTACACGCTGTCTTTAAATTGTGCCCAACTTTGAATGATTATATTTCAAGTTCGGTTCAGTTGGATGATTACGCGCTGTCTTAAAAATTATACCCAACTTGGAATCATTATATCTCAAGTTCGGTTCAGTTGGATGTTGAGAGAGAGGTCGTTTTAAAATCTGCCCAACTTGGAATCTATATATCTCAAGTTCGGTTCGGTTGCATAATGAGATGCTGTATAGAAGATTTGCCCAACTTGGAATTCTTATGTTTTGAGTATAGATTGACGGCGTTCGGGGACATAAGGCGTGCCCGACTTAACTTCGTCTTTTGCGTCTCTATCTCTCTCTTTCTCTCTCTCTCTATCACCTCCTTTATCACGTCTCCTCATCTCCTTTACTTAAATACTTGAGTGAATAATCTAATTTACATATTCAAAGCCTTAGTGAAATCCCTCTCTCCCTCCCTCCTCCTTCCCTCTCTCCCTCCCCCTTCTCTCACCTCTTTCCCTTATCTCTCTTTTCTCTCCTGTCCTCTCCCTTTGTCCCTCCATCTCCCGTCTCTCTTCTTCCCTCCCTCCATCATTCCTCCTCCTGTCTCTAGCTTCTTCCTCCTTCGCCCCCTCTCCTCCCTCTCACTAACCCCTCTCAATCCTCCGTCTATTAATCTTCTCTCTCTCATTTCTTCCATCCTCACTATTTCTCTATTATCTCTCCCATCCAACTACTTCATTCTCTCTCCTTCTGTCTTTTCGTTCTTTGTCTCTTTATCCTTTTATTCTTCTTCCTTGTCGTCTCTTTCTTTTCCCACACTATTTCTGTTTTTCTGAATGTCTCTGTTTGTCTGTTTGTTTGTCTGTTTCAGTTGGAGAGAGAAAGAGAATGCAAAACTAAAGTGAGGAAGAGATAAACACACACACACACACACACACACACACACACACACACACACACACACTATTCACCCCTGCGTAAATTCACTGAATAAGACAGTAACTGGCACCCCCCCACCACTAGCTAAATATCCACTGGCGAAATTTACCCCTCAAAAAAACAAACAAATTACACAAAGATGACGCAGCAGTTTAAAACATATATATATTAGTATGTTGAAAGTAAGACCTTGCAGTACTAATGTGTATTTTGAAATTTATTTGTAATTAATATATGCAAATCAAGTAGAAATTTTAATTATAATTTTTCCTGGTAATTTATACAGAATAATATTAATTTTTATTTAATTTATAGTAATGTAAGTTTCAATAGTATTAATATTGCCCTAGGTGAAGACTTTTTATATATACACTTTTACAAAAATTTCGAGAACAAATATAGAAAAGTATTCTTGGTGATAATTTTGTATATACTTTTACCTACTATATTTTTACTGCTCCCCCAAAAGTATAATTCCTTACAAAAACTACAAAAATATTAATATCACTCTAGTTAACTGTCTTGGCTATACTTTTGCTTTATTCTCACACCATCTTTACAAAAACTATTACTATTACACAGGCAAACTACTTTGTTATATATTTTCCTAAAACTTCCCCCTAAAAAACTACTTTCTTATCATATCTACTTTCTCATATATTCTCAAGTACTCTCTCTCTAAAAAGTACTTTCTTACACTACCTACAAAAATATAAAACTACCCCAGTTCACTACTTTTGATGTACTTTCCCTCCAAAAACACTTTCTTACTACCAAACACAAAATATTAATACAACTTCATTACTTTCTTTCATTATAAACTTTCCTGTACTTTCCCTTGAGTGTAATGAAAGTCTAGGTGTACTTGTTTCATGACCTCCTCAAAGTATATAAACTTTTAATTAGATTACTTCTTCTGAGTCCTGAGAGAAGGAAGAGGAAGAAGTGGAGGAAGAAGGGAGGAGGAGAAGAAGAGTAGGAAGGAGGGAGGAGGAGAAGAGGAGGAAGGAGGGAGGAGGAGAAGAAGAGGAGGAAGGAGGGAGGAGGAGAAGAAGAGGAGGAAGGAGGGAGGAGGAGAAGAAGAGGAGGAAGAAGAGGAAGGGACATTATCTCTCACTCCTCACTATCCCTACCACCAAAACAACAACCACCACCACCACCACCACAACAACATACCTACTCCCAGTCTGGTCATCACATCTGCTGAGACAATTTAATCAACAAAACTTCATGATGGAATGACTTCCCATCCCCCCAACAAACACACAGCCAACACGTGACCTTGTAAATGACCTCTGACCTGTCTACAGATCTTGACCTACCAAGTTGACCTTCCAGTGAGAGATTGAAGGAAGGAGTTTATGTCATTGAGGAGAAATGAATAAAATGTATGATTATAATTATTAATTGATATTTTTTTAGGTGTAGGTTAGGAGGTTAGGATAGGTTAGGTTAGGATAGGTTAGGTTAGGATAGGTTAGGTTAGGATAGGTTAGGTTAGGATAGGATAGGTTAGGTTAGGATAGGTTAGGATAGGACGTAATCCCTTGACATTTATATTTTAAGTATTTTTATTGGTTTTATTATTTTATATTTTTTTTCCAGAATAAAACTGTTGGAATTTTTTCAGGAATTCCTCTATTTTCATTTTTTTTGGACGATGTTTTATAATATGTATTTTTTTAACATTTTCACTACAACACAAAAACATTTAGGCAACCAGACTTGTGACTATTAAAAATACTACTACTACTCTTACTACTACTACTACTACTACTACTACAACTACTACTACTACAAATAATAATAATGAGAGAGAGAGAGAGAGAGAGAGAGAGAGAGAGAGAGAGAGAGAGAGAGAGAGAGAGAGAGAGAGAGAGAGAGAGAGAGAACAATTAAAACTTTCACTCTTCCTGAACGACAAAATTATTATGCCTATGCTTCAAGGAGAGAGAGAGAGTGTGAGTGTGTGTTTGTTTGTCTGCCCGTTTGTGTGTTTGTTTGTCTGCCCGTTTGTGTGTTTGTTTGTCTGCCCGTTTGTGTGTTTGTTTGTCTGCCCGTTTGTGTGTTTGTTTTGGCCCAAAAATTAGATTTTGTTAACAGTCACATTATAAGTACTCCAGAACATGCTGATTCAGAATATATGGACCACGATTCAATTGCGGGGTAATTAGTGGCTGCAATGACCCTTGGATAATTTAATTACATATTTCAATGCTAATTACTGGCCAACTATGTGTTTACAAAGTGCGATAACGTGAGGTTGTCTGAGTGGGGGTAGTGGGCGTAGGATGTGTGGGGTGGGGAAAGTGGGCGTGGTTATGCGTGGGTGGGGGTTGTAGGCGTGACTAAATGTGGGATGGTGCGTAGTTGGTGTGGATGT